AAAAGGTCCACCAATATGTGAGAGACCACGTAGGTTACCTCCAGACAAGCTAGCAGCAGCAAAAGAAGAATTCCAAAACTTAGTCACAGCCGGAATATGCCGTCCATCAAGCAGCAATTGGGCTAGCCCCTTACATATGGTAAAAAAACCAGACGGTAGTTGGAGACCTTGCGGAGATTACCGTCGCTTAAATGCAATCACCATCCCAGATCGTTACCCAGTTCCTCACATACATGATTTTGCACACATGCTATATAACCAAAAAGTTTTTTCAACCATCGACCTGATTAAGGCATATCACCAGATACCAGTTGAACCGGGGGATATTCCAAAAACGGCGATCATAACTCCATTTGGATTATTTGAATTTACTAACATGACATTCGGACTTTGCAATGCAGGTCAAACATTTCAACGCTTCATTCACGAAGTATTACGAGATCTCGAATTTGCCTTTGCCTATATTGACGACGTCATTATTGCATCAGCAAACGAGGAAGAGCACAGGCAACACTTGCAACAAGTATTCGAACGATTCAGAAAACATGGTTTAATAATAAACGTATCAAAATGCGTTTTTGCTCAAAACACAGTAAAATTTCTTGGTTATCTCATCAGTGAAAAGGGCATTCAACCTCTACCAGATCGAGTGAAGAGCATCAGCGAGTACCCGCTTCCAACAAAAACAAAAGAATTAAGAAGATTTCTAGCATTACTTAACTTTTATCGCAGGTTCGTACCAAACGCTGTAGATTCTCAAACTGCACTTCAACAAATGATAAAAGGAAACAAGAAGAACGACAACACACCGTTATGCTGGACCGAAGTGAACAAAACAATCTTCCAAAAATGTAAAGATGAACTAACAAACTCGACACTACTTGTTCATCCGTCAAAAACTGCTACGCTTGCATTACAAGTAGACGCCTCGGATAAAGCTCTCGGCGCAGTTCTTCATCAAGTGACAGACAGCACGTTCCAACCACTCGGTTTTTTCTCTAAACGATTAACAGATACACAAAAACGATACAGCACATACGATCGTGAGTTGTTAGCCGCATATCAGGGCATAAAACATTTTCGACATATGTTAGAAGGTCGTGAATTCGTATTAATAACTGACCACAAGCCACTCACGTTCGCATTCCAGCAAAAGTCCGACAAGGCTTCACCACGTCAAGTCCGTCAGCTTGATTATATAGGTCAATTTACAACGAATATCGTTCATGTCAGCGGAAAAGACAACATCCCAGCAGATTTTCTCTCGCGGATAGATAGTATTAGCATCCCAAAAATCGACTACGATTGTATAATTGGATTACAACGATGTTGCCCACAACTACAAGATATCAAAAACAACAATTCCATCGAAATCAAACTTTTATCTTTACCAACAATATCAGATAAAATTTATTGCGAAGTTTCAACTGGGCGAATTCGTCCTTACATTCCGCAGAAATACCGGCTACATATCTTTAAAGCTACGCATGGGTTGTCTCATCCCAGCATTCGGGGCACAACAAAAATGATAGCTGAAAAATTTTTCTGGCCTTCTATAAATGCTGATATCAGAAACTGGACCCGACAATGTATCCCATGCCAACGTTCTAAAGTGCAACGTCACAACCGTTCACCTATTTGTCAATATGAACTCGCTGAACACAGATTCGAACATATAAACATAGATATCGTCGGCCCGCTACCACCATCAAACAACTGCACATATATATTAACCATCATCGACCGTTTCAGCCGATGGCCAGAAGCAATTCCGATCCCTGATCAAACAGCGGAAACCATCGCAAACGCACTGATTACTCAATGGATCGCACGTTTTGGCGTACCCTTACGTATCACAACAGACCAAGGAAGACAATTTGAATCTTCATTGTTCAACCAACTAGCTGAAGTTATCGGTTGCAAACACTTACGAACTACGAGTTACCATCCTCAAAGTAACGGAATGGTGGAACGATTTCACCGCACATTAAAAGCAGCCTTAATGTGCCACCAAACAACTTCTTGGACAGAAGTTTTACCAATAGTATTGTTAGGTCTACGCACGACTTTTAAACCAGACATTGGAGCTTCTGCTGCTGAAATGCTATATGGCCAAACTCTACGTTTACCGGGCGAAATAGTAAGCAACCCTAGCCACAGAAATATAAATCAACACGATTTCATAACCAAGCTAAGAGAACAAATGCAGAGCGTCAAGGCAACGTTGGTATCGCATCATATAGACCGAGGCTACCACATCCAACCGGCTCTAAGCTCAGCCACGCATGTATTTATACGAAATGACAAGGTAAAACCACTATTGACGCAACCTTACGATGGTCTTTACCAAATGCTAGAGCGAAATGACAAGACGTTTAGAATACTGATCGAAAACAAAGAACAAACAGTTAGCATAGATCGTCTTAAAGCTGCTTTCATATGTCTCGATACAGACATTGACATCCACAACAAATCAATGGTATACCACACTCCAAACAACGTTAATGGCGACCAGTCTGTGCGACCAAATACAACAGCTAACCTGATAAAATCAGGACGCAACGTTCGCTTTCCAACCAAATTCAGTGACTCCATCACTTAGGGGGGAGTACTGTGGCAGCACCAAAAAATAAAAATAAAAGAACTGTCAACAAGGCACAACAATTGTGCCAATATCCGCAGTTCCCGCCAGTAGTAGTTTGGAAAAAGACAAAGCAGCACGTGAATAAAACGTAAAAACACAAATCTTAACTTTAAGAATATTTTATAATAAATAATTATAAGTAATAAATAAACTTATCCATTACCAATACGGAGTGTTAAATTCGAAATAAAACCCAACATAACAAACCACTACAACCTAATACTTATGATCTTATTCTTACGGAATAAGAACCCATTAGACAATCTTAGCGTGTACTGTTTAATCGTTTTTGGATTTAGTGTTGCAAAATAGTTGAGAAATGCTTTAATTTGACCATCCGCAAATACAAGAAAGGTTTGTATTTGTCGACTAATGTTATATTGTATTTAAACTTAAAATTGTCGAATAAGTTTAATATGTGTTATGGCAGCACTAAAAATAAACAACACGCCGATCTGGCAACACAATAACTGCAGATGATCGAGCGTGCATATACATAGAGGGAGTAAGACTTAGCAAACGATTGTAACAATTTACTTTAAAAACAACAAACTATTCACAACTATTTTTGAGTAATATAACAACTATTATTGAGTAATATAACAACTATTATTGAGTAATATAACATGGTGTCAGGTGTAATAGCCTAAATTGAAATTTAACAAAAATGGCGGAGCTTGCAGACTTACAAGAACAAGTAAGACAGCTGAAAAACGAACTAACGCGTAAAAATCAACAGCACGTTCCACAAATACAAATATTACAGCAGATTCCGCTTCCAGGCCCACTAAACATAAAATCAGGCGATATAAGCGAGAATTGCAAGAATTTCAAGCAACAATGGCAAAATTACTTAACAGCATCAGGAATTGATTCTCAAAATGAGGAAACAAAAAAAGCTATTCTATTAACAGCTGTAGGACAAGATGTGTTTCAACGCTACATCAACATGCCAATATTAGAAAAAGAAAAAGCAACAGTAAACGAATTATTGGATGCAATCGAACGGAATTTAACACCAACAGTCAACAAACGTTACATCAGAGCGATGTTTAACATGGCAAAACAAGAACAACACGAAACATACGATGAATACTTTAACAAATTGCGCGGTCTCACTAAAAATGCACAATATGGTCAGCTTGAGAATGATTTAATGTTAGATAAAATCATATGTTCAATAAAAGATCAAAATTTACGTGAAAGACTGTGGCTAGACGAAAACATAACGCTAAATAAAGCTATCGATATCTGCAGATCAAAAGAAGTAACAGAAAAACAACTTCGCGGAATTGAATCATTACCATTCGAAGTCAATAAAATTGACAAACGCAAGAAGCATCACGACAGTAATACCCAAAAGAGATTGTGTAAGTTTTGTGGATACAATTATCACGATAATACGAACAATGCAAAGCAAGAAATGAAGTATGCAGGAAATGCAATAAAAAGAGACATTATGCCAGAGTCTGTATGTCTAAAAACAAAAACCAAAGTGACGACAAAATGACACAAAGCAAAACAAGACATGTTAAAGAAGTAACAACGATAACAAAAAATGAGAGAAGCCAGAGTGTAGTATGCATACATTTACATAAATAAAGCAACTTCAATAAATATACTTTGTTGCTAAATAGTCTAAAAAGACTATATAATTTACTTTGTAACGCACAGCTACATGAATTATGCCTGGCCAGCACATTCCTATTGCTTAAGCACACATGAAGCAGCAATGCTTTCATGTTATTTAAAAACACGCTATGTGCGATAAGATTTTATGTATGCATGCTTTACCATTCCCTTAGATACATAATAAGTGCTAGCGTAAGCTATTATTGTATGTTAAGTTTAGCTCTAAGCTTATGAAGCGGAGCATAAGTATTCATTCAATCTTTGCAAAGCATACTGAGTGGATGCTTCAATAAATAATAATTAATATAAGAAAGTAATTGTTTTATGTTTGTGAAGTAAATAAAAACATTGAAGAATTGAACCTAAAAGTTTTAGTAGTTTTATATATTTTTGAATAAATAATAATTTCACACTACAAGAGTAATGAGCGATCTAAAGAGTATGTTCTGCATACAGTAGAAGCTGATTCATCAACAGGTATTTTTATAGATTTAATCATATAGAACAACAACAACAACAGTTGCAAAATAAGATGTCAACTGGATACAGGTGCGACGTGCAACATAATTGGGAAAAAAGATTTATTAGAAATATTTCCAGACCCTGTTATGAGAAGCACTAAAACAACATTAAAAACCCCTGACGGAGCGCGTATAATGCCAACGGGCACAGTTCAACTAACACTAAAAAACAGAAATAGAAAACACAAATTAATATTTTATGTGGTCGAAACTGAACACTGTCCATTACTATCAGCTCAAATATGTCAGGAGATGGAGCTTATAAAAATTTGCAAAAGTGTAAAAGTAAATGTTGAAAACGAAAAGGCACAAATGATAATAACAGATACTCCCACATCACCATTTGAAATAATATCGATGGATGTATTCGAGATGAACATTAACAATCAGAGAAAATATTTTTTGATAACTGTAGACCATTATTCGGATTTTTTCGAGATTGATGAATTGAAAGATTTATCAACAAAAATTACAATATATCTATGTAGAAAAAACTTCAGCAGATACGGCATACCAGTAGTAGTTATAACAGACAATGGTACAAATTTTGTTAATACAGAATTCAAAAAATTCGCAGAAGAGTGGGAATTTGAACATCGTACTTCGAGCCCATACCATCAACAAGCAAATGGTAAAAGTGAAGCAGTAGTAAAAATAGCAAAACAGTTGATAAAAAAAGCTATAGAATCGAACACTGATTTCTATAAAGCACTATTAATATGGAGAAACGTGCCTAACAAGATTGGATCAAGTCTAGCAAAACGGATGTTTTGCAAATGGCTGAAATGTCACATACCAAACAACGATACAGAACAAGAAGTGATAAGAGATGTGTCAGAACGTATACAACAGCAGAAAAGATATACAAAGCAATATTATGATAAAGGCACGAGAAGGGAAAACAATCTAAAGGAAGGAGATAATGTATATATAAAAGTGAATCCAAATGAAAACTGGATTCAAGGCAACTTACTACAAAAAGATACAAATAGAACATTTATAGTCAGCAGTAAAGAGAAACATTAAAAACGAAACAGTCTACATGTAATGAAAAGAAACGAATCAACAGAACACAACATAACTGCGGCAACAGATCCAGAACGAGATGAAGAACTAAAGAGGGATGAACGAATAGAGGAACCTGTAGACAAAGAAAAACAATATGCAAGATCAGAGCAATCAAATAGAAAGCAATATGAACAACAGAGGCCAAGTCAACAAGATGAACAACATAGACCAAGACGTCAAGCAAGAAAACCAAAACATTTAGAAGACTACGAAACATACTAACGTCATAAAAAAGAGGGGATGTTATGGCAGCACTAAAAATAAACAACACGCCGATCTGGCAACACAATAACTGCAGATGATCGAGCGTGCATATACATAGAGGGAGTAAGACTTAGCAAACGATTGTAACAATTTACTTTAAAACAATAAACTATTCACAACTATTTTTGAGTAATATAACAACTATTATTGAGTAATATAACAACTATTATTGAGTAATATAACAATATGCATATTTTTATATGAATTTTGTTTAATTTTTAAATGAGAATATATTTGTTATATTTTTAATTTGTTGAGCAGTTAATAAATATAAGAAATTTAGTTTAAAATTTTGATTTACTTTGATTATTAAATGAGAATATATATGTACATATTTAGTTATTTATATATTTCATATTTTTAATATTTTATATATTTAGTTAGTTTATTATATTAATTGAGCAGCATATTTGTTGAGTTAAGTACAATAGTTTGAACATAGCCTATTGTTAAAGAGTTTAATCCTCTTCGTCGGCTATGTGAATCCAAAAATTATACATTTTTGAAAAATAATATTAGCCGTGGGTACAACACATAAACAGCGGATATTTTCCTTGATGATAAAACTTCAAATGTCCAATGCTATTCTCAAAATTGCTCCAGCAAAAAAAAAAAGCTTTAAAAAAATAGAAATAATCAAATTTTTGCGATGGCAAGAAAATAAATTAAATGTAAAAAACAAAATTATAATCACTAATATTAAACTTAAAACTATACAATTGATGATCTTAAAATTATCAATAAATTTATATACATACCATAATAATCGTAACGTAATAGAAATTTTTTTTTAAATTCAAAACTGTTCTTATTATAATGATTGGGTTTATTTGAAATTAAATAAATAGTTTAGAAAATCATGAAGTATATTGACACAAGGGCGGGAGGAGTAACATTCCCTTTCCTAATAATTATTTTGCTTGCATCAAATATTATAATTGCTATTTATTATGTTTGTTTTTGAGAAAAGAAATAAATAACTGTTTTAAGGTAATTGCATTATTGAGTTGATAAGTTGAATTCCAGTTTGAAACAATCTCAGTTGTAATAGCAAAAATGTCGTATTTGGCGTAATGGAAATTTTTGTTTTGCTAACATTTTACATTCACCGGGAATGGCGACTACATAAAGTGTAGAATTTTTTTATGGTTGAGTTTGACTGTTTGTAATACAATACTAATTACATAAAATTTAATTTAATTAATAATGTAATAACACATTTAATTATTGGTGAATCAACTGTTTATTTATGAATTTTTTATAATTCTTTGTTTTAAATAATTCATATATATTGGCAAACACATACTCGCATCACTTATTTTTTATATTGATCACTTTAGCAATTGACAGAAACACATTTGCAATACTAATATTTTTTATTTCACTTACTATTTATAAAGTAAGGATGCTTTTATTTAATTATATGTTCACTACAGATTTACTCATTTTCTTAGACGCTCACATCCAAACACAAAATATTTACCGCGAATTCAGTTCTTTGACATTTTGATCAGGACTGCCAACACTTATGTTCTGCTGTTCTTTTTTATATATTCTGGATTTAATAATAATGTCATAGACATAGAAGCAAAAAATAGACTAAAAAAATTTTTATCATTATTTACTGAATATGGAAAAATATGAAAGAAGAAAATTGAATAATGAAATTTTAATTTTTAATTTATATAATTATATATATTCTATTTTATGTGATAGAATAATTTCTATTGACTTTATTGAATCTGAAATAAAATTGTCTTTTTCAAAACTGTTTTAAAGGTATATTTCTGTTGTGGTTGTTTAATAAAACTAATTAATTTTTTGCTTTAAATAGTTATTGCTTCATATGTAAACGTAAAGTTTTGTTTTCAATATGCTGTTAAATACGATTAACTAAAAAAGAAAACTATAATTTATTTTGCTAATCAAATATTAAGCACTAGACAGCATGTGTAGTTTTTGTTAGTGTAATAATTACACAAACCTTAAGTTTTGATATTTCAAGAAGGTGTATAGAGATAGATCGTAATGGAAAGTATGTATCTATTGACCTATGTATATGTAAAATCTCGCAAATCGAATGTCTAGAAAATCGGAATAGTGCTCATTTATTTGACAATTTTATATTTTGTATATTTAATTAATGTATATTAATTAAATAAACACATATTCTTTGTATTATATAGGTATATTGAAAGTACGCAATTTAAAATTTTTTAAATTGATTTTCGGATTTCTAATAAAATTTTAATTTTTCGGTTTGCTTTGAAAAATTATTTGCTTTTAAAGCATCTTGTTTTGACAAAATAAAAATAAAAGAGGGCTCAGAATTTTAAGCAAATTTAAAAAATAATTCTTAAATTTTAGATTCAACATAGCACAAAAATCTTAACATGTAATTAATTAGTTTTGATTTCAACAACAATTTCTATGTATTTCATGTACTAAAATATAATGAATATTTCTCATATAACCGATTATTTAAGTTGGTGTGACTAGAACTTTACACTAATCAGACTTTTTTTTAGCAAATTCTGTATGGATTTTATATAACAAAGGCGTTATTGCTGTATACATGTCAAATAGATTGCAATAACACGTAAATGTTCAATAATGCATATCAAAAATAAATGCTTGTTTCATAACTCATTAATAGAGTATTCTTATAGAGCGATAATAGAAATAATTTCTTGGTTTTTTAAACCAGTTAAACTATGTTTATGCCGTTATTAGAATTCAATACATTTTAAATATGATTAAATAAATAAGATTTTGTTTGTAGTTATTTATGCGAAATAACAAATATAGAAATTACGACAGCAAGACCTCTTCGAATGTGTAAATAAGGCATAACGAAGAAGTACGGATCTAAGTACAACAAACGAAAATTGCAACTCTGTCAAAAAATATCTTATGTCAAATATCATAACCATATGTCAAATCTGAAAGAAAGCATTTTAGCTTTTGTCCCGCTACGAAAACGTATTTAAAAGAAAGAAGCGTGAACACTTAAAGGTAAATTATAATTAATTTTAGGAAAAGTATTTCTTCAAATTATAATTATTAAATAAAAATATGTTCACAGATGCCGAAAACCAAGAAAGCAGTAGAATCATCGGACAGCGACTCTGGTCCGGAAGATGTGTGTATCAAAAACTTTAATAAGCGTATGTTCGTAATAATAAATCTGTTAATAATTTTTTTAGCGCAATAAGCCAGTGCAGAAAAAGGCAAAGGCAAGTAATGAGGCTCCAGCAAATGAGTGGGTTTTAGAAAAACTACGCAGAGTTCGTGTCAGTGAATTTCGCGGCCGCAGAAATATCGATATACGCGAGTTCTACGAAAAAGATGGCCAGATTTTACCAGGAAAAAAGGGCATTTCCTTGTCAATAACACAATGGAAAAAACTTCTTGAAGTGGCCAATGAAATTAATGAAGCTATAAAGGACTAAAGCCATTGCACAATTCACCATGTTCTCATTCTATACTTAAAAGATGTAATCTAATTGGAAAACAAAATTTGAATTTAAAATAGAGACATCAAAAATGAAAATTTTTAACATTATTTCACTTAAATGAAAAGGAATAAGTTATTGAAAATTTCTCTTCAATTTTAGTTAATGTTGTGTTTAAACGTTGTATAAAACATTAAAAAAATATGTGTCGAATGAATTAAAATGTGGTTCTCACATCTTAATTATGGCTAATGTAAGTTTGAATAGCTGGTAAAAAAAAAATTCCTGTAAAGGTATTTATATAATAGTTATTGTTATTTGTGAGATAGTTTGATATTTTTATGTCATTACATGCCATACGAAGAAAACTTGTTTATATGAAACAGTTTTACATACATATAAGAGTATTGATATTGCTGTACTTTTGTAAAAATATATAAATAATTTATGGCATTTCAAATAATAGTTGAAGTAAATGAGGAAGTGTAAATTAACGTTATTAATATCATAAGAAATATACAAAATTAGGGTTAGAGGAATAAGTAACAGTTTGATTGCTTTTTCTGATATAAATTAATTAAAGTAAATTATTAAAACTAAATCTGTTATAAATATAGAACCAAACGTAATTCATGAATCCATAAATTAACCAATGTACTTGTATATTTCATTATTATAATAATATTAAATTATATAAAAAGTGTAGATACATATATGGGTATATTAAGGTGTAGACTATATTCCAAAGGTCCATGATACTTTAATATATACATATTTTTTCCTAAATAAGCACACGTGAACAATAAGAACAGTCATTTCTCTTTTCTTCCATAATGGCAGGAATTAAGACGTTATATAGAGCACTTTGAAGGCATTCATATGCATATGTATGTGCATAACTTATTTCTATAAACCTCAAAACCCTGAACCTTACTATTCTACTGGCAAGCTTATTACATTAATAACATAGATAAATTATTGGAATATGAGAGGAGTGTGGTTGAAAAGATATATTAATCTAAAACGGATATAGCAGATATGTAGAGGTAATAAAAATAAAATAAAGAATAAAAATTTATGGAGTCCTAAAGGGTAAAAAAAATTATAGAATAGTTGAGTTTTCAAATTAATATAGAAAACTGAACAATTTGGGTTACTCTTCAAAACTAAATTTTGGAATACATTCTTATATAAAAAAATTCAACTCGATGCAAATGCATTATCCCTGACTTTATTAAAGTAATATCTGAAAATTTGAAAAGATCAAATATGACCGGTGTAATAATAATGATGTTAATAATCGAAATATCACTTAAAAACCATAATAATGTGATAAGTTGACAACGGAATTGTGCAAACGTGGATTTTTTTTTGTATTTTATAAATGTGCGACCTGATCAAAAAGTTATCCCATTGGAAATATAAATAGATTTTTGATCATCAATATTTCCAGTTTCCTAATAAATTTTGAATATTTTTTTCAAATTTACATATAAGGGGTTGAGGGATTATAAGGGGTTTTCTATTTCCTGGTGTTGATTTAATAGTACTATTCCAGTTGTATGTTTTAAACATTCCCATCATTTAAGGCGTTAAATGTTCAGATTTAGGTTTTGCGTCCTACAATATCTGTCGCTTAACAACCGCTGAACACGTTTAAATTGAAACACTTACTACAAAAATGATTTGTATATCATTTGTGTAACTGACCCGTGTTTTTATTGAAAACTGACGAGGTGTACAGTACGTACAGTTAAACATGATTGCTACAGCTACATGATTAAATTGATGCAAAAGTATGTATACTCTACATTAATTATGTTAGCAACTACATAAATGCTACTGATATCCAGAGTGCAGTCTTTATTGTAACTAGGCATATGATATGCATATGATAGTAAGAGCGCATGGAATTCGATTGTTATAAATGTCTGTATTGTTATTGATATACATACATAACTAGACAACATGAGGTGTATTTATAGTTCCTAGTCTTTGCTGGGCTTAAAAAGCGCTTTCAATACTGTGTTTTAATTTTTTTGAGATAAAACTTTTGGTTTATATTGATATTGTCTTTTAGTAAGACAATCATCTTACGAAGTAATTGATTGTTAACAATTAGTTTATTACTATATATTATATTTTTAATACTTACTCAGATTTTAATAGTACTGTATTATTATTTTTCTGCTGTACTGGAGGGTGCATTAGTGCATTACGTATTCGCTTTGGATTAATACGTTTGAAAATCGTCTGACTTGGTGCTACGTATTTAATTTTGTAAAATTATTTGGTATTATTTATTTGACAAGTCCAAATACATAATATCAGGTCCGAAAACATATCTCTTTTACTTCTGATATATCTACCTTATATTGGCATTCTTTGTCACTGAGTTCTTCTTTGGCTTTATATGTAAGAGATTTTTCTAAAGATAATGTACTCATCAGTGGCAGTTGACGAATTGTGACAACCTATATTATATATTTTTATTAGCTTATTTTGGAAAAGTACATTTTTTTTAAAACGTTTGTATTATAACAATTCCTTGTACGGAAATATTATCTGATAAAACTCACTACAGCTAATCACTTCAAATATATTGAATTGACATGACAATAGACATACAATTTGATAAGTTTATTTTGTTATTGCACGACTTAAAAAATGTTGACATATATTTTTCCAAAGATACACTGCGTTGTCAAAACAAACTCTCTGTTACCAAATTCCTTTAGTCTCTAAAGGAATTCTCGGCTTCACCTGAAGCAAAAGTTAAATCGATTAACTAAAGTGAATTTGGTTGTAATAACGTGAAGTTGCAAGAACCTTTCAGGAACTGTTAAATATTTAAAGAAATAGTAATTAATAATTAAGTTTTAATAATAAGAAGTGTGGAAAGTTTTGTGTTTTGTGTTTTGAAACACACGCTCCTCTGATCATCACAGGATGTTCGTACACAAGTCCACAAGGGCACAGTTTGCACAACACGCTGCGGCGATTCGTGGCGACTCCAGCTCTGATGATGAGGAAGAGGAAGGCGACTTATTGCAGGTGAAATAAAATCTTATCAAAAAATTTTGGAATATTAATAATTTATATTGAACACATCATATATATGATATTTACTAATTTCTTAACTTCTTTAATACAAAAACAGGCGTGTACAGTTTCAGTATACTGTACAGGAATTACATAATCCTAATATATTAAAATTATTTTATTATTATTTTTTTTTTCAAATTAAAATATGTAATATATATTTATATATCATTATTACTAAATTAATTCAATACCATATTTGTAAATACATATTTTCAAATTATTGATAAAACATATTTGTATATATTCTATTACATATGTATGTATAAGTGTAGTATTTCTAGTATTATTGGTTGAAGGTCGCACAACATTCGATTTATATTGCAAAAAATTTTAAATCATTGTTATGTAACAAAACACTATATTACTATATATAAATATTTACATATTTATACATAAACTGTTATTTTTTAATTCTACCAAAATCGAATCATCAAATTTTTGTACCAAGAACTATAAAGCCTTTGTTGCCTACTAGCTAAGCTTTATTAAAATAAAGCAAATTTTTTTTTTACAATAGCTTCTAAAATTTTATATATAACAAAACCACTTAAATAGAATTAAGAAATTTTTAAATTTATTTTGAATTAATTTCAATACAACTTGTTACAAAAGTAATACCACAACATCGGCATATAATCGAATAATCTAGTGAATCCTTTAAAAAAAATGCTAGTTAGATACTTAGTTATGTTTTACACTTTCCATAAACCAAACTAAAACGTCTTCTTGATCTTTTTGGATTTGCATTAGTTATTATTAGAGCTTCTAAGATAAACTGTTAAGTAATGTACCAGGCAAAGATTTTCTATTTGTGATATATGCTTTCTGTATAAGTCAGCCAGATCTGTAGATCCAGTTTGACACACTCGTCTATTAATCCTTGACCAGTGTTAAAAAATTTGAGAATTCTACAAGAACCTCATCCCAAAACTGGCGTGCATATCGGGCCTCCCACTGTACCATGCTAGACATCTAGAACCATACTCACAACAACAAGGCTGACATAACAGATATTGAGAAATTTTTTAAATAATACATATTATTAAGTTTTTAGTGTCTCTATATAAGCAATAGGTATTTACTTAAAAAAAAATTAAAACATTCGTTATATAAATTATCTATTTATATTGGCAAAGGCAATTAATTATATTTTATACCTCCATATTGACCTCCTTATTAAACAGTTTTCTGCGCTGGTAATGAAGTTCCACTTACATAGTAAATTTTTCTACTGTTGTAGGTGAATTCCATATTCTTTTTATATGGTTATGGTTACTGAAAAATTGTCAGGATCTCTATTTTGGAATATATAGCGTGGTTCTAATAAATATGCTAAGTCTTAAACAAACAACAAAACAATGATATATCGGTCGTGATTGGACTATGAATATTATTTCATTACCGTCGTATGTGCTACTATTAAATTAAATTGTATAAGTTGGCATAATTTTAAAATAGCATATTCAGTACTATCTAGCTGTCAGGACATTTCTTATATACTCTTATTAACATAGGTTTGTTGAGCGCTGAAACCCCCGATATCGAAGGATTACATTTATATCCTTTCAACTGTTTAATAATATAAAATTATTATTTTATATTACCGAAATTATCCGATAGCACCCTGGTGTAAAGTTCTGGCTAAGAGATTACCTGCGGGACCAATGTTTAAAAAATCTACTAATTTATAAGAATGAACCTTGTATGAAAAATGAAAAGTTGAGAAACTCCAGTAACATTGCACGGTTAAGAGGAATGTACGTTTGACAGCACTTCCACTGACCTATTTATCGGCAAAAAGGCTTAACTCTTTATAATTAATTAACTAGCTAAGTCATAGTCGTTCATTTTAGTGTGATTTATTTTTTTCATGTGTGTATTAATATAAAATTTTTATTTCTAAAATTTGTGGTTAATACCTACTTCTAACCATAATTAAATTTTTATATCTTTCCAGAATATATATAAAATATTTGCAAACTTTTGAACACAA